CAAAATGTCTTTTAGAGGGCTTTCAGCAGTAAATACACTGTCATTGTAACAAATATGATGCTGGCTTTAAACTGATGAGAAAATGGCCAAAGTACGTGCAGTTTATACTCTGACAGGAAGCTGGTCTGGGGATTTAGGTTGTGTCTGAAATCTACAGCACTGCAAAGAATTTTTATTTCTGCTTCAGTCTGTGTAGAAAAGTCCTGCTTAATTTACTTTCTCTTATTCATATAATTTTCTCAGCCTTCAGCTCTGCTACCATTCTTTGTCTGTCCCATTGCAAGGGAGCAGACACTGCAGATACAGAAAATCCAATTGGAAAGGAGAGCAAGGTTGATATATTTTGTCTCCAGTGCCTCTGGGAAGCCCAGTGCTGCCAGTGCCTTGTAAATACAAAGATCTAACTCAAAATGGTATGCTGGGATAAAGGTGGGCTCATTCTGTCCTAATTAGGGCAGCTCAAATAGCAGCACCAGGTAAATGCCTCAGATGGGAAAATACAGCTGTAATTCTTGTAATGTAAATCTGTTGATATTATCCAAAGGGTCCTGTATTAAAATAACAAAAATGTGTCATCTGAGAAAAAAAAAATGTAAGTATGATGAGAACTGCCAGGAGAAAACCCTGAGTATTTATATATTCTTGATACAGTGCAGAGAGCTGCAGTGGGGTGATGCCATTCTGCTGCTGCCAGGACGAGCTCCTCACATCACTGCTGCCCACCCTGCCCAGGATGCTGTGACAGCCCAGGCACTTTCACAGGGTCCTTTGTATCCCAGAGCCATCTTTTGGTGATAATTTCATTTCTCTCCTCCACATGTTAAGAAGCAGCCAACACAGCCAGCAAACAAATAAGTGTTTTACAAAGCACTTGCAATCTTATTTAAACCCGTGTGTCAGTGATTTCCCTGTGTGTGTGTGGTTTTGCAGGCAATTCATACAGTGATGAAAATCCCTTAACTGCTGCTGTAGGCTAATGCCCTTTTCCATTCCTAGATGTTCAACAACCTGAGCTGACAGTCAGGAGAGTTTGTATTTTTCTGGTTTGTTTTCTAAAAACAGCACCCACATGAAAGAAGTTGAAGTGTGTACACCTGCAGTTTCTCTCTGAGGGAAATGCTTCCAAAACAGCCCTCGTATTCTACCTGTTTTCTGTTATTTAGCTTATAATATTAATAAAAACATGAACAGAAATGCTATGAGGGATGGAATTTGCTGTATTGTTATTTACTTCTTTGATTTGTTTTTCTTTTTGATATCTGTTACACAATCGGTGAAATACCTTGCAGCTGGACCCAGAATTTCAGCTGTGAGACTGGGCTTCTGCCTAGACACTAAATTAATTGCAGGTCTGTTCTATCTCTCCTCTTTCTCTGCAGGTAGAGACCTGAAGGGTGCCTTGCTTAGTTAGTGGCAGGTGTAAGTCCAGGATGACTGCTGCTGTTTTGGGGGAAAACCTGGAAGAGTAAGCATTTCCTGATGTCCCTCTCCCAGAACTTCCTAGGAATTCCCCCTGGGTGGCAGTGAGCCAGCGTGGCAGCCCCAGCAAGGTCTTCCCACCTGAATGTGAGTCAGGGCACTGAGTGAAAACTGGTCAAGTCAGATGGCAACTCTGGGTGCAGGATATGGGGAATAACCCTCATGCTGCCCAGAACTGATCCTCTGGAGAACCAGGCACAGCTGAGTTGCGGAGCTCCACACAGCTGCCATTGCTGCCTGTCCCTGTGCATCACCAGTCTGTGCAGTCTGCACTAGGTAAACTGAATTTAAACTGTTCACCACTGTAATATTTTTCTTGAATGCCTATATTTCTCCACAGAGAAAGACTGATTTTTCTTAGATTTGCTGTTCCTCCTGAAAAAGAAACGTGGTTTTGTTTGGAAAAAACTTTAATAGTGAGATTCTCCTACAATAGGCATCTTATGTACATACTTTTTTTTCTTCTTCTCAATTTACCTCCCCTCCTAAAAGGCCACATAGCTTTCCCCCTGTGAATCTGTGAAATGCAGTTACTAATTTAGTTTCCTTTTAAAAGGATAATCAATTTAGATCAGATTTTTGAAATCCTAAAGACTCAGCTTTGTTTTAAGATGTAGTTATTTATTTTGGTGCCCAAGACTGTCAAAAGGAAAATGTGATTTTTAGGTGTTTGTACCAGCCGAGCAAGAGGGAAGCAGTCTGCATGGGGTCTGAAGAGATGTCACTTTTATGGTGTGGTCCTGACCTTCTCAAATGACTCTGACACTTGCCCAATGAACTTCCAAGAGTGCAAGGAGATGAATTGCTTTGTCCAGATTAGCATACTTGTTGTGGTGGTGAATTTAAGAGTGATTATTTTGACTTGGTTACATTAATTCATTGTAAAGGTAACGTGTGCAATGGTTTGCTCTGAAAGTCCCCAAAAGCAGAAGTGTAAACCAGATGAGGGTTGTGGGGAAAGGTGTGCTTGGCACTTGGAACACTTGAGAGATAAGGGTTGCTCCTGGTTACCTGCAGCCACCTGGGTGAGAGGCTTCATGTGGAGGGATAGGGCAGGGGAGCTGTGCCTGGAGATCTATCAGGGAGACAGAGATGGCACTGCTTGTTTCAGGTGAGCACAGATTAAAATGCCTCTTGATGGAGCACTAGGAACCCACCCAACTGGGCACAGAAAGTGCAGACCCAGGAGATCTTGCCAAGGCAGATCCAAACCATGAGATCAGCCCCCTCAATTCATCAGATCATTCCCCACCCCATCTGTTTGGAAGTCTCTCACAAATATAAAAGATGTGTTTTAAAAGTATTTTTCAACTCTGTTCCCAAAACATTTTGGAGACTTTTTTTTTCTTAGTGCTTGCTATTGTGCTTGTGTTACAGAGCCTGTCAACCCCTGCAGCACCCAGCTGTGCTGGCTGTAACCATAATTCACACAAACTGCCAAGTGCTGTTCTGCTTAATATGACAGATCCTTCCGTGATAGCTGTGCTCCAGCCAGCCCTGGTGAATGTGTTGGGAAGGATGGTGCCCATGTGAATAAGATTTATGTCTGTTAGGGCTGTGGTGAGTGAGCCTGCAAGCACTGCCTTCCCCTTTTCAAAAACGCAGAAGATTTATCTCCCTGACACATCCTGAGTCTGTTTCTCTCTCTTTTTTTAAATAGCTATCCCCAGAAAACTTCCATGGCTTGGTTTTTCTGCCTGCCCTCTCCCTTGGGTGTGGTTTCTCCTTATCTCTCCCCCAAGCTGTCATCTCCTCTTGCAATTCTTGTGGTGTTGCTCTTCCTGCTGCTCAGCTGGATGCGCAGACAGCTGTAAAATGGACTTTACAAGAACCATGATACATGGGTGCTGTGCCATGGCACCACAGAGATTCTTGCAACTGTCTGCATGCTGAGCTGCATGTTGGCAAGAGACAAGCACTGCAACTTCCCTGGTGGGAGCTTACAGAAATGAGAATAAAGTTGGAAAGAGTAGTGTTGGATAAATGCTCTGCCATTGCTGGACAATCAAAGCCTGATTGCAATGAAAGAATGAATTTCCTGGGAAAAGGGATATATTCAATTGCTCAACCATCTCTGGGTTAACCTGTTGCTGGTAGGGTATGATCCTCTTTGTTAATTAAGGGTACAGCTTCTTGCATATGCTTGTGTATGTGCTCCACAGATAGACTTAACATCAAGGAAGGACTGTACACAGTATGACTGAGTGTATTGAAAGATATTGTTTTGACCCAAAGCAAGGAAATGTACTTGAGAACACAGCTAGGAGTTGTTAAGTATTCAAATGAGGTCCAGTTCTCTGTGTTATATTCGGACAAGTTTGTAGGATAAATTCTTCATTTGTTTCAGTGATCTAAGAACATAAATCTCACAGCCAGGACATGGGATTTTTTGCTATTGTGAATATATAATAAATCACTGCCCAGTATGACCATGGATGATGTATTTGTTCCTTAAATAATAAATTCAGCAACCATGAAAGCCATCTGTTTTGCAGGTGTACAGGCTAGTCTTCAAGAGTAATTTTTGAGGGTTTTTCAGCTTCTGCTGCTGCCATACAGCAGGGATGAGTTTCTAGCTCCATATTTTGTTGTTCTCTTTACCATTCTTACTCTGTCTGCCTTTGGGAAGGGTTAAGGATGCTGGCCCAGGAAGGCAGACTGCTGGCCACCAGTACTGCTGGTTAACCAGGAGCAAACGAGAATGTGGCTGCTGGGCAGGAGACAGTGGGATCCTGGGGGAGACTCAGGGGCAAGGAATCTGTGGATTTGAGAGCCTATTTTGAGTGAGTATTCCCTCATTAGCCTGAACTGATCTTTTAGTTGCTGAGGTAGACAATAAAGACTAAGCTTGTCCTTCTAGTTCTGATAACCAAAGAAAACTGACTTACTAATAGAGGACACAAGTTGCTTGTTTCTTTTACTGATGCTTTTTTTATTTGTTTTCTCTTATTGGATCCAGGCAGGCCACAATGTAACATAGGAGGTTATGGCATTGGGAACCAATTCAGGAGTCTGAAGGGTCCTGAGGCTGTGGTCACTTTTGGGCCGAGCCTGACTGAGGCTGACTAGCTAAGAAAAGGATCCAATACTCTTAGGAAGCAGAGGGACAACAGGCACTACAACAGCAGGGTGTAAGAACTGGATATACCACTCCACCTAAAAGGACCAATTGTCATCCATGGTTTAGTAAATCACAAACTGAAAAGGTTGCATGCTAAATAAATGTAAGTTGGCTTAGAAATGCTTAGGAAGAGAGAAGGGAAATTTCTTCAAGAGGGGAACAGCTAATTCTCTATGGTCACAGTTGGCTGCACGGCACTGGGTATCCAGACAGATAATACTGCTTGTCAAGCACAGGGTAATTATAGGGGAGTGGGTGGGGACTACAGTGCTTTGTTCCTCCCTTCCCCACAAATTTTTGGTCAGCTCAAGGCGAGGCCACGCAGTAGGAGCTGTTGGAGGCTCTTTGGCAGCAGGATCTCCTCCTGCTGCTCCTCCTTCCCACTGGGCTCTGTGGCTGGCACAGCTGGAGCAGCTGTGGGTGATAGAGTGCAGCCTCCTGCATCCTGTAGGTGCTGCACTCCCTGGGCTGTGTGGGGCTCCCAGGCTCAAGCACTGGAATGACACGGGCTAGGGGTGAGCATTAGACCCTGGGGAAGGCAGGACTGGGAGGGAGAGCAGCAGCATCTGAAGGCCTGTGCTCAGTGGCAGAGATCTGCTCACCTTCACTCTACATCTGCTGTGAAAGCAGGTGCTGCTCCTGAGCAATCTGGGGAGAGTGTACCAAAAACAAAGTAGAGAAAATATAATGCTGAGGGAAACCAGAGAAGCATTGGAGAGATGGACAGCAAAGAAGGTAGTCAAAGTGGAAAGAAGGTACAGTGGAGAAGGGGGTACCTTTTTCTCCTAGAAACACTGTGTCTATCCTGCTGATCACTGAGCAGTGCTGAGGGTGATGTGTAAACTACGGCTGCAAAAGCTGTACTGACTCCAGTTACAATGATGAGGCTGTACATCCACGAAGTATATGAGCTTTAGACTTGAATGTCTTTAGAGCTAGAGTTGAAAAAGTTGCTGACAGACTGTCTTGAAGGCTCTGATTTCCAAGTGGTACAGACAACTGTGTTCTGCAACTGCAATTACACAACAGCAGCAGCTGGACAGCCTGCCAGGACATCGGGACAGCCTGCTCTCAGCTGCTCTGGGGCCTTTCAGGACATCAGGAAAGTGGTGCAGAAAACAAACTCACTGTACTTCTGTACATTCCAGGATCTGGAGAGGAGCTGTCTCAGGACAAATTTTACTCTTGTGTCACCTGAAAACACCCTGTTCCAGGATACCCGATGCTCATACACAAACAAGCAGATGTACCCTTGTGGGGTGTAATGCTGATACTCACCTGTGCCTAAGGCAGAATATGGTCCTTATTTCCCCTTCTAGAATATCTTGGGGTGGAGAGATGTACTCTGTCACAGCCTGCACATGTCAGTAGTTAGTGCTGTAGAGTCCATGCAGCTGTTTGCGTGTTGGTACATCTTCCACAGTTCCTCCTCCTTCTCCCCACTGCCTCCTCACTGGCCTAGAGACCAACAGGATTGCCTAACTTCTTACAAGGCCAAAAGACACAACTGGAACATACAGCTGACTTGGGGGGAGAAGCAATTAAAACCACATCAAGTAATCTGTTACCAAGACTGCTGCCTGTGCTCACAGGACTGCAGTCATGCTTGCTCTGCCTTTGCTGGATAGACAATTTTCCAAAGGACACTGATATTTGTTCACGCAAATGTTAGTCCATCACACCTGCACAATTCTGCCTGCCTGTGCCTCGGATACTGAAGTGTTATCAGAACTGGATTTTGGCAACAAATTTTTGCTGTGGGCCTTTGCATGCATTTTTGTGTAACTGGACAGGCGTGGAGTGTCCCAGTGCTCATGCATGAACTCTTGGAATGGGCAGTGGGAATTGGTCTGTGTGAAATGGATGGACACTGCTGATCCATCAAGGGAAGTGGGTTTGCTTATGGATATTTGGGGGGAGATAGCAGATATGGGGAATAGTGGGAAATATCTGGGGGGCAGTGTGTTGTTCAGTCTTTTGTCAAAACCATGCAGGATCCAATGTAATTTCTCTGTGAGAAGGATGAGAGTGTGGCTGAAGAGTGTCTTTTCAAACCTTTTAAATTTTGACACTTATGTATTTGTACTCTAAATACTTTGATCTTCCCCAGCACCCACTTGTCTGCAGATGAAGCTGATAATCATTCCAAGCTCTTTCCTAGCATTCTTTCTTACTCTGCAGTCCTGAATAAAATTCAACCTTTTTCTCCATAAATAACCTTTCTCATCCCCCCAGCTGCCTCCTAGAACTAGTTTTCTTCTGACCTCTCCCTTACTGACTCTGTACTGACCTTGCACTTCCCCCACAGCCCTAATCTGTTAGTGTCTACACTCCTAGGCTTCCTCTGCTATTTTGCATGCTTTTTTTTTTAATAATAGGGCCCACCGTTTCCTGAGCTGGGCTTCAGCAGTAAGCGTGAACAAGGCCCTTTATCCCCACACTTCATACAGTGCAGTGACAAATTACTACCATTGGCAAGAATTTTGATGTTTTTACCCCTTCTCTCTGATTCTAGGCTCTGGATAAATCTATATTTTCAACTGTATTTTTCTATTGGCAATAAAACCCACCACCAGTGTTTCCAAATTTTAGAGAGACAAGACAATTTCAGGGCCAATGTCTTGTTCAAAGAGCAATTTTTTGTCTTTAGCTGAATTTTTATCAGTGTGACAGTAACTCCAGTGATTTTTTGATGGCTTCTATTAAACTACTAAAGGATTGTTCAGTCTCATCCTCCCATTCAAGGCAGTGTGAGTTCTCATCTGAAAATCTTGCAAATGGATTTGTTTTGGTTTGTTTTTTTCCATGAAGTTAGGCTGTAGAAATAATCAGTAATAACCTGCCAATGGACACTTGTGGAAAAACTTTTTAAAAGAACAAAGTGGTCATGCACATCATACCTGCATGTACACTTTCTTGCTTTGTCATGCTGTTATCAAACAAAGTATTCTCTCCTCCCCCCAGTGTTTGCCTGTCATTTACATAAATTTTTGTATTTGTTGAATGGGAATTTGCTTGCATTCAAAGTGGAAAGCAGAGATTTTTCAATATTGATTTTCTTTTTTTTTAAATCACACCATAGATTTCATCTCTATGTACCTGCAAACCAGACCCATTTATTTTACAAAGCAGAAAGCTTAACTCTAGGTGTCAGCACTGCAAACTGAATGTGCAGCTCTGAAAATGAAGTTTTGCTGTCTCTGACTCCTCCAGTGCCACCAGAAATAAAGTGCAATAGCAGTTTTGCTGACAGATCCATTAGGGCTGAGGAAGGGAGCCTGCACTTATGCCTAATGGCACAAGTAGGAATTGTAGCATTCTCTTCCACAGTCTTTTTCTAGCTGCATGTGTGTTCTTACTAATGACATCTAGTAAATTATGTTTCATGTAAAGAAAAGAATGAGGACAAGATCCATCTCCAAACAGTGCCCACTGTTTCAAATGGATATGTTAAACCATTCCCTTTGTTTATTATATATTAAGAGGATGTCCAAAGTGATGAAAGGGCACAGGAAGCTGATTTCTTTTTCTGGTTCTAACAGGGTGTATAGATCAGCTAAATTAATGAGGTGGATGAAGTTTATGTGACTATTGCTTGTTCTCAAAACTGCACACTAGCAGAAACATCGGGGAAAGGAAAGACTTGATTTTCCAGCCTTTAATGCTAGCAATTATGAGAAGTAAATAAAAGCATTTCTGCATTGCAAGTACTGTGGTTATCCTGAAAAACCACATTTCTCAAAAGCACTGACTTTTGGCTTTGCATCTCTCAAGTTTACAAGGTGTTCTCATCTGGATCAAGTGATGCTGTTACATATATTGAGTGAAAAGCTGCCTCTTGCCATTCTTGTTGTCCATAGCCATCATTTATCTGCATGTTTTGCTTTTAATTATGACCTGATGGCATTTCTCATGTAGCTAAGGTACTGTTAAAAGTGTGGCTGTCCTGAAAGCACAGAAGTGCTCCTGCTGAACTGGATTCTTCTGAAACACAATGATTCTACCAGGGGACCACAGAAATGTTCATGGCACAAAACTGGAGTAATTTAAACAGTTTCCTGTGTGTAACACATCATTTTTCCCTCTTCAGATGCTGGAGCTTATTGATAAAAGTCATGTCCCTGATACTTGGTTTCCACCATGTTCCTAAATCTAAAGTTTGGTTGGTCCTTCTCTAAACTGCTGCTGCCTCTGAGCTGTTCCTCAGCCAGTGAAAACAGGCAGGACCCTGGAGAAGCACCTCTGTGAGTCATTGAGAGTAAAGGTAGCAGAAGCTACAAATGACATAGTGAAAAATATGAAAGGCACGTGAAGATGCCATGGGGTTGTGTGTGGTCTGTGGAAGAGTACGGTGTTGTGTGTGTGTTGTTGAACCCGGGCTGCACTTGAGCTGGTACTTCTGGAATAGGAATTGTCTACGGCAGTAACTTGTCTTACCCTGGGCATGGTGTCTGAAGGGCTTTAAATAGAATGTGTTCTCTCTTAAGGTACGTACAGACGTCCAGTCTCCCGGCACACCTATAGGATAAGGAAGCACAGTTACTTTCATTTGATATAGAAACAGAAAAGGTTAATGTTACATACATATTCCAGGAAAAGTCTGCCTGCAGTTGATTTCCCAAGCCCCGGGGCCTGGCTCCACCCATAGCACCATCTTCCCTTTTCACAGGCTTTGCTTTCAAAAATATTTTCAAAGAAATTGGCATGGGCAGAGTCGAAAAGGAAAAGGATGGGAAGCAACAACCGAGTCCGTTGTCCGGTTTCTGAAGAAGGGCACCAGGTGTCTCACGGAGCAGCCGCTCGCCGTCTCCCCGCGGCGGCGTGCCGGGGCTACCCCGAGCCCTGAGCGGGGCGAGCCCCGCGGCTCGGGCGGG